GCAGAGTCAGGACTGGAATTTGTGTTGGGGTCTAAATTCCATACTTTAAGCTGCTCTCATCCCTCTGGGGGTCAGGTGGAAGGGTTATCATCTGATTCATTCCTGGAAAGGTTTGTCACTTGCGAGGGAGCCCTAAAGTAGAGTGGTCCAAAATTTAGGAAAAGGAAGGCAAGCAAAGCCGTGGAGGAAGGGAAGAAAGCAGCAAATTTGAGGGTTTGCTGTAGTTGGGTTTTCAAGAACAAAAAATACATATGGGGGGCATGGAAGCCTTCCTTCCCAAACATACTGCCTTTTGGCCTGGGTTTTTACAAGACCCCAGATCAGAGCTTGTCCTGTCTCCTCCAAAAATAGCAAAGGGTGTCTCCTTAGTTGCAAAGACTTGTCTCACTGGCTCCTCCTAGAGGTAGATTTATAACCAAGCTTTGTGGGGATACATGATCTGACCAGAAGTAGTGTTATGTCGAATTCTATGACAGTGATTAAGATATTCTTCGGTCTGTGGACGGTGATGCTGCTGGAAGCACTGTGGGCGGCGGAGGCATTCTGTATCCAGGAGCTGTGTCTGTTCTGGTGAGGTCACGTCTCCCTCACCCCCGACAGGAAGGTCCAACATAATCATCCTGCCACCAGGTAGCTGGCTGGACCCCCGGGGAAGCGCCATACTGGGGGCTCAGCTTTGGTCTCGCTGTTTGTGGGTCAGGCACACGCAGTAGTGTTGCCAGTAGTTGCCACCAGAATATGAACAGAGGGTACTTCTGGGCAACAAGATGACAAATTATTAGTGTTGCCTTTTTGCTGATTTATATTTCATAATTTCTCTACAACTAGATGCATTTCTTGTGCAACAAATAATAAAAGTAAAGTTAAACATAATCTAAAACCATTATTTAATGTGTTTTGGGAGCAGAGTGAGAGGGTAGGCAGGGCCCCCACTCGCCTGTTCCCATGAACCTGAGATAATGCCCTGCTCATTTGATGACAGTAACAGTAACCATCACTGGAGCATTGTCATCTCCCTGCAAGCATGTGTCTGTTTGTCTTGCTACTACATGCCTACAGCCCTAGGAAGGAGGATTTACAGAGGCAGAAACTGAGGCTCAGAGAAGGTCCCTTGGTCTCTCTCTTATTCATTCCCAGCAAGGCTCCTTACCTGCAAAAGAGAGAGAGTTCATCAGCCCGGACAGTGAGATGAAGACAAGGAAAATTGAGAACAAAAGCAAAAGAACAGACGAGGGATATGAGGTGGAAAATTTGAGGACTAGGAACTGATTGGGTTTCCCAGGTTGCATGTTGAAGTTGTGCAGAGCTGGGATGCAAAGCCAGGGAGGAGTGCCCTGTTATCTGCACTATGGCCCCCTTTCTGACCACTGAGGATCCTCCGTCACTGAACTCTGTCTTGGTACCAACACCAAACTGCTAGCTGAGGCTATTGGGATTTTAGGCTTCAAAGAAGATTCCTTCCAATGGGATATAGGATGTTTGATTTCCATTAGCTGGACTCTGTGCTATAAGGTGTTGAGATTACACAGTCCCCCAGATGGCACTCAGAACCCACCCCATTTTTTGTGACATTTCCAAACTCCCTATCTGAAAAACACTCTCCATTGGATTATAAAGGCACTGAAGCAAATCAATTTCCAAACTCCCTGGCAGTTTCCCTACCGTTGGATTTAACTGGGTTAGAGTTATGAATTCGATATTGACTTTGCCTCATCTTTTACAGGGGAGCATGAAGAAAGCCCCTGCACTTGAACTTAAAACACTAATCTTTGACAGTCTGAGGCGTTCAGCAAAAAAGCCTCCTCATATGCCTGAGGTCCAAAATGTCATTTTGAAAATCTGAACTTTTGATTAATTTCACAATCACGAATCCTTATGTTTTCTTTCTATGTGGTCCTTGATGAGTGTCCTTTTATTTATTTATTGAGGCTTTTTAAGTACTGTCAGAATGTTTTTGCCACTATGTTACTGACGTTGCAAGAGCACTAAGATCTCCTAAGATTAAAGACTTTCACAACAATAAAAGACAAAAGCAAAAATCTCAAACACCAACATATAGCAAATGCTTCATCAGCCACCAGGCATTGTTCTGGGGTCTCGGCATTCTGCGTTCACTTACTCATCGCTTTCATGCTGCCAGTAAGTACTGAGAGCTTACTATATAGCAAGCGTTGTTCTACGCTTCAGGGATAGGAAGCTGAGACCCTGCACTTGCTTACAAAGAGAGTGAACAAAATGCAAATCAGATCATTTTAGGCAGTGATAAATGGAATGAGTGAAAACAGGAAGGGACTGAGGGGGAAGGGTAACTTTAGAAAAGACGCTCCAATATGAAGGGCAGAATTGTTCTAGGTAGTTTGGATTGGACAGGGACAGAACGTGTACGCATGTGTAGGGGCTGGGGGATTGACAAATGTTGGAGAGTGGGCTTCAGGTGCCCAGCTCTCACCGGGAGCCTTCCTCTTCCAGGTGATTCCCTTTCTCCACAGCTTCTCTCATTCCCAGAGTTTGCTCTGACTGGTTACTCACAAGTTCCAACTCATTGCTGAGCATTAATCTGTTCGTAAACATTTACGGAGGTCCTACTGTGCAGGGAGTCACGTTTCCATATGCCAGTTCATGTAATCTTCACCAAACCTGTCCCGAGCCCACTGACAAGGAATAATTTTTCTCCATTGGGTTTTCATGACTTCTTTTATATTAAGTTCTCACATTGGAGTCACTTTCTGGGCAAACTATTCTGTTGCATCAAGCAGTTAATTTTTGTTCCAATGCAACACCATTTTAAGGATTTCAGCCTTGTATTATGGTTTAACTCCCTTCCTGAAACGCCACTCTTCTTGGTTCCCAGATTTTTGAGATTCTCCCCTCTGACAGTCAATCACATAGGTCTTCCTCCTCCTTCTTCACCCCATAAGCTCCCAATATCTTCTCTCCTCCCCTCCCCCACTCTTCCTTCCCTCCTCCAGCATCTCTCCCTTTCCCCATCCCCTCTCTCCTCCAGTTCCCCTCGCCCTTCTCTCTCTTTCACTCTCCTTGGCCAACTCCTCCAGGCAAATCCAGAGCCACATTCAACACGCAGACCTTCTGATCACTCCTTGCGAAGACACCAGGGGTAGATCCTTGGCTTGGCCGACTTCACAGCCTCTCCCCTCCATCCAAGCCAGCAGACAAGAGGGAGAGAGTGAAAAGTAAAGTAGGCGCCAAGTACCGCGGGGCAGCTGGATGAAGGGTTTCTCCAAAGGTGGTGGCGACGACAGAAGTACGGGCGGGGGTGAGGAGATGGGGGAGGACGTGAGGGGTGAAGTTCGGCTCAAAGGCCAACACCCTCACTGTCTTCTGCCAGGCGCACCCCCCTGCCCCTCGCCTGACCGAGGCCTCGCCTTCGTCTCCTCTCCCCTGAGCTCAGTTAGCACAAACCGCATCTCACCTTTGCGGTTCTGCTGCCTGACAGGCTCTTCTGGAAGTTTACCTCGTTTTTCTAGCTTACCATTTAAATCTCACCTCAAGATGTCACCTCCTCAAGGAGGCCTTCCAGGACCGGCCAGGATTCCCCGCTTCTAGTACAGCACGCTGTTTTCTTTCCTCATTGAATTACCAGTCTTGGAAATTTATACTGTTCGTCTTTCTGTTAGCGCTTTCCACCTTGCCAGAATGCCAGCTCTCTGAGCGCAGGGACCCTATGCCCTGTTCATAGAACGTCATCTCTCACGTGGGTTTAGTCATTGGTTGAACTCATGAACAGAAACTCAGGCAAGAGAGGGAATGATTTGCCTAGAGCACAGGTTAGGAGGGCAGCCAATTCCCCGTGTCCTGTTTCTTCAGCTTCTCTGCTCACCCTAGCTGGTGGAGATGCTATACAAGAGCCAGGGAGGCGAGGGCCGAATTATCTAACCACCAGGGGCCGAAACCCTGAACCGCAGGAAACAGGGAGCCACGAGCTTTGCTATCACCCCCTAAGCGAGCCGATGGCTTCGCGGTGCGCTCGGCCTTGGCCAACCCTGCAACTTGGATTTTACTTCCTAAGCGGAGAAGGCGGGCTGGGAGGTGACAAGAAAACGTAAAGATGCAGGGGCCAGGAGAACGCAGAAAAAGAGACAAACGCCCCAGTCCCTTCCTCTTTCCTCTTCTCCCTCCGAGCGGCTCGCGGGGAAAGCCCTAACGCCCACGGGAGCACGGAGAGCACGCAGAGCCCAGCTCGGCGGCCGCAGCGCGCACGGCCGCTCCGCGGCGC